TGAGTTGGGCATTTCTTATGGCTTTGTTTCGAGATGATTCGGTTGTGTCTATTGGGAAGATTGTACATTTTTGTGATTGCTTTTGTGATTTCATTGATACCATTATTTTTATTACTATTGTTATTATTGTCATTATTTTTGTCATTATTATTGTCATTATTTTTGTCATTATTATTGCCGTCATTATTATTGTCACTATTTTTGTCATTATTATTGCTGTCATTATTATTGTCGTCATTGTTGTTGTCATTGTTATTGACATTGTTATTGTCATTATTATTATTGTTATTATTATTATTATTAATGTTACTGGCGCTTAATATTGTAAATATTTGTAAGTGGAGTCAGTCAACATATCAATTTTATTCGTACTTATAATTTATGCATGTACTTTAAGATAAGTATTGTGATCGAAATGTTGATCTTTTGATTGGAGGTGATTTGATAAAACGGTGATCATGAGATGGAATGTTTAATTGGTGTGCTGAAAGCTGTTATTATTGGGCAGTAGCATTTATCTGGTGTGGATTCGGAATGAGGGTTGGGTTGGGTGGGGTGACTCGAGTGAAACTTGCCTTCGTGAGGGAGGTCGGACCGAGTCTGTCGATTACGCGAAACGAATGATATATCCCCGTTATTGATGTTGTGAGCCAGATGCAGGCCATGAATCGGCTTCTATCTAATTATCTGTTATAAAGCAAGTCAGTGTTTCTAGTTCGTATCAGACTTCGTATGAAATGGTCTTTCGTAAGTATCGACCGGCCAAGCAATGGGGCAAAATGGACACGAGAATATTCAAGGCGATTCTCGAGGCACGAAACAAACGCAAAATGCCTTCTGCACAGATTCCCGAAGCCGTGAAGGTGAGAACACCGAATTTGTTTTTATTTTAACGATGAATAGTGAATATTTATGATAATACTTTGAGACAAATAGTGATCAGTTGGGATTTGTGTGCTTTGTTGAGTGGAATAGCGCGTTTATTTTGCTTGTAAACTTAGATTTATTGGTGACGAGTGTGTGTATGGGCATACATACATGTTGGGTGGGATATGCGATTATAAAATTGAAATTAAAGTCGACCTGACTGCAGGCTCTGGGTGTGGACGTGTACGATCCGAGAAGTGCCGACTTTCCAAGTGCAATACACAAACCGACAACAATACTCGATCATCCTGCATTCAAACCGAAAACGACTGAGGTTATTTTTTTAAATATTGATATCGTTGTTTTGAATAATAGCAGCGAGGCCACGCCTACTACCAACGGCCTCAGCCTAAGCGTAGTCTCAGCCTTAGCCTTAGCCTAAGCCTGAGCTTGCTCGCTTGCTAGCCTCTGTTGCAACATCGAGCGATCTGAGGCTAAGCTCAGGTGGGGCTGAGGTTACGCTTAGGCAGAGGCCATACGCAGTGGGCGTGGCCTCAGTTGTTATATGCGAGCGTGTTCGCGTGCGTGTCCCCAAAGTAAACAAGTGCCAATAATAGTAATAGTAATGAATACTTCAGGAACATCCTCTTTATAACCAAATAAAATGTATATTATTCGATGGCTCTGAACCGTTCACGGACGGTATCGACCAAGCTTGCGCGATTGCAAATGCTCTGAAATTCACGAATTTCCCTGCAACAGTTATGGAGAAGGTTTGATTTATTCCTTATTATTTTATATTATAGTGCGAGACGGGAAGGGGAGGGGGGGGGCAAAATGCCAAGTGCCAAGCCGTAAGCGAGGCGTACTGCATTACTGGGAGGAGTCAGCGCGAGGCGTGGCGTGATTTAGGCTCCACCCTAATGCGATGCGTTTATAAGAGTGATTTTTATTTGTGGTGCTCGTTTCATTATTATTATTGTTGTTGTTATTGTGGTTATTGATGATATTGCAGCACTTCTTTACTTTGGGGGACACGCTTGCGTACGGCAACGCGCGCACACGCTTTCACGCAGACCGAAGCCACGCCTACTGCGTATGGCCTCAGCCTAAGCGTAATCTCAGCCTAAGCCTAAGCCTGAGCTTGCTTGCTAGCCTCTGTTGTAACATCGAGCGATCTGAGGCTACGCTTATAGTTAGATCGGAGGCTGAGGTTACACTTAGGCCAGGGCCATGTGCAGTAGGCGTGGCCTCGGTTGTTATACACGAATGTGCTCGCGTGCGATCCCTCCCCCCTCCCCAAAGTAAACAAGTGCCAATATTATTGTTGAATATTGTTCTTAATAATAAAAAACATTATTACTGTATGTTGTAAGTTAATAGTAATAATGATAGTAATGATAATAGTGTTCGACGGTGGAATTGCCAAAAAATTTCGAAGAGCAGCTGAGCGATATGATAATGCACGGAGAGAGGTACGACCCCTCCCTGGAAAAGCTGCCCAAAAGGCATGACCCCGTGCTGTTCTGGATCAAGCATCCTCGTGTTTATGGAACTCCGGTCCTGAAGCGAAAGTTTGTCTTCTTATATGTTACTTTTACACATTATTATTACTGTTAATTAAAAATTGTGATTGTAATCGTTTCTAATGAAGAGTTAATTCAATTGCAGTCATATTATTTTGGATAATCTGTATCGAAGTGTTGTGTTGAATGCGATTCGATTCAATCAACTCGATTTTTTGAGGTGATTTTTGAGTTTTTATTGCAGAATATGGATGGGTGTGTGTGTGTTCGTTTATTTGTACTGTTGTCTAGGTGTATTTTATTGCGGGACTTGTTTACTTTGGGGGACCCGCACGCGTACGGCAACACAAATATACGCTTTCAAACAGACCGAGGCCACGCCCACTGCGCATGACCTCTGCCTAGGCGTAGTATCGGCCCAAGCCTAAGCCTGAGCTCGCTTGCTAGCCCCTGTTGTAGCACCGGGCGACCTGGGGCTGCGCTTAGATGAGGCTGAGGTCACACTTGGGCTGAGGCCATGCGCAGAAGGCGTGGCGTCATTTGTTATGCTCGCGTGCGGGTCCCTCAAAGTAAAGAAGTGCCTTTATTGTTTGATATTGTGAATATTTATTGATGTATATTGTCACACATATCTTATTATTAATATTATAACATATTTATTTATTTAATTAATTTGAGATGTGATCGAGACGAGCCAATGAGCGGTGCGGTACAACTCGAGGAAGGAGAGGAGAGATTTGCAAATCGCCCCCTCGTGTTGCGCGCCCAACCACACTTGACCGTGCAGTCGCCCGAAGCAATCCGACCGTGGATTAGGGAGAGTGAAGACATTTCGGAGATCTCGAAGTGATTTTTCACATTTTCAGCCACTTTTCCAGTTGTTTCGAGGTGGACCTTAATGAGAATGGAGAATTTGATGAGTATTTGGGAGATGTTGAAAGAATTTGGCAAAAGTTGACGATTTTTTTTGAGAGAGATTCGAGGGGAAGCTTTTAAGTTTTTTCAATGCGTTCCCAAAAAACAAGAGAATTTAGAGTTGTCAAAGTGTGTGGAATAATTTTTGCCTTGTAGTGGTGGTGTTTGAATTCGCAACATTTCCATCGGTATAATTCCAGAAGGGAAAAAGTGCCAAACGTTTGGCCCATCGAGCCCTACATTGATTTGACTGAAGACAACGTCTATAACAAAAGAGCCGTCGTGCCCAGAAACAGATTCAAACTTCATTTGGATACGATTCTGTGGGCGCGGGAACAGCATCAGAAATATCCGTGGACGAGGTAGTAGATTTAGTCGTAATGGTAATAGTGATAAAGGCACTTGTTCACTTTAGGGGTCGCACACAAGCGCGCTCACGTATAACGACTGAGGCCACGCCTACTGCGCACGGCCTCAGCCTAAGCGTAAC